TACAGTAGAACCTCTGGGCACAAACACTTTTGACCATGACCAAATCGGGTTCCAACCAAAAAATTCACAATTTTTTTTCATGGCTGATTTCTCCTTTTGTGCCATTTTTTTTGTAAGCACCAAATTTCCAAAATTAGGTTCAGGTCACAACCAAATCGGTTTGTGACCAAAGTTATGGAACAAATTAGGGTTGTGACCAGAGGTTCTACTGTACATTGCAGCTGACCTCATGTAAAGGTAGCCCTTGACTTGCAACAGTTCATTTAATGACCATTTGAAGTTGCAATGGCACTGAAAGAAGTGACTTATGACCATTTTTCACACTTACGACCACTGTAGTATCTCCATGGTCACATGATCAAAATTCAGATGTTTGGCAACTTACTCATATTTATGACGGTTGGAGTGATCTTCTGATAAGCAATGCCAATGAGAAAGCCAGATTCATTTAACAACCGTGTTACTAACTAAACAACCGCAGCAAGTAACTTAACAAGTGGGCAAGAAAGTTCACCTGAAGGCCAAACAAGGAATAATGGATGGAAACTGACCAAGGAGAGATTCAACCTAGAAATAAGGAGGAATTTTTCTGAGAGTGAGAACAATCAACCAATGGAACAGAAGTTGCCTTCAGAAGTTGTGGGAGCTTCATCATTGGAGGCTTTCAAGAAGAGACTGGATGGCATCTGTCATAAATGGTGTAGGTCTCCTACTTGGGCATGGTTTGGACTAGATGACCTACAAGGTCCCTCCCAACTCTATTAAAATCTATTTATCTGTTAATCTAGTTTCTAGACAGATTTTGGCCCAGCCTATACACGTGGTGGCTCAGCGGCTAAGATGCTGAGCTTGTCGATCAGAAAGGTTGGCAGTTCAGCGGTTCAAATCCCTAGCGCCGTGTAACGGAGTGAGCTCCTGTTATTTGTCCCAGCTTCTGCCAACCTAGCAGTTCCAAAGCACATACAAATGCAAGTAGAAAAATAGGAACCACTTTCAGTGGGAAGGTAAACAGCGTTCCATGTGCCTTCTGCGTTTAGTCATGCCGGCCCCATGAGCACGGAGACGTCTTCAGACAGAACTGCCTCTTCGGCTTTGAAACAGAGATGAGCACTGCCCCCTAGTATTCATCTTGGAGTTGAGAAAACCAAGTTTAGGCTTCTCAAAGTCTGCATATATGCAGCTGAGCTAAGTTGGCCTATAGTTGGCCAAATAGCTCAGAACAAGCTGCTATGACTGATAAGATTCTTAGGTAGGTTGTTTCCTTGCTTGCTTATCGAAGCCATTATCCTTCCCCAAATTTAGAATTTTTTAAAAAAAATGTGAAGAAGAATAAGATGAAAACCTGCAATATTATTATAGTGCTGAAATGTTCCTATGGTCAGAACTCTATCAAGATGGGAGGGGACACATCCCCAACTCTAATCAGTGTTTCAAAGCAGCTGGATACTTTCTCAGGGTCATCTGTACTTCTCGCTAATTAACTGGTTCTACAAAGCTAAACAACTACATATTATTATCCATGCACTAAATATGGATAATCAAGATACAATATATGGGAGGTGGATTGTCCCATATTAATAATACGGCACTTCTGTGGTTTTTATGACACTCCTTCCCCTCCAAAGTCTAGTCTTGTAAACATGCAATGTGCCACATATTAAACACATCTGTCTAAGTGGGATTTAAGGTTTGCTGATAACCACCTCCAAAAGTTATTCTGCCTGCCTCCCACAAGCATCATTCACATGTGTATCTAAACCTGAAAAGATGTCCTTGGCCTATAGAGTTGATATCCCAGCTTAGGGCATCTCAAATTCTCTCCTTGAGTTTGCAGGGGAGTTATTTTTCCGAGCCTGAACGCAGCTGTCTTGTGGGAGTTGATTTTCTTTCTTTCTATGGTGTCTCAGAAACATGGGAATAAAGGCAGATCTAGTAGAGGTTCGTTTTGTCCTTCCTTGACTACATTCATTGCCTCCCTCCCCTGTTCGTTTGTGGTCACTAGCTGACAGGAGTCAGTCCCATCCCACACACTGGAGCTTGCCAAGTCCTTCCCACCTGAGCCTGGAGGAGAGACACCAGAGCGGGCACGCTGGGTTTACATACCCAGACCAGGTGCTGCTGGAAAATAGATGGGGTTCCACATCTTTCTCCTTTGGCTTTTGATGCTGGAACAGCAAAGTAAGTATATGGATGCCCTGAGTAAAAACCGTAGCTGTGTCTCCTATGGATCCAATGCTCTGACTGAGGGACTGGAGCATCTTCAGGGCTTAATCTTGGAAGATGGCCGCAATGGCACGATCCAGTGTCCTCACAATCAGTGCTGTTTTGGCATCTGGGACCTGAACCAAGGACAACTTCAAGCCAAGGTGCAAGGTGAGGAGGACAAATGGAAGATGCAACGAGGAAGTCTTTCCTGGGGAGCGAGGGTGAAATGGAAGCAGAATATCAGCAAGCACGTTGAATGTTTTCTTTTTCTTGCTAACAAAGGGTAGTGGGATTTTTTTTTAAAAAAATGTAAGAATATATGAGTTAGGAAAATAATAATTTTATCATCTGTTCCTGTTCAAAAGTATGAACTTCGGGATCTTTAATATCTTTGCCATAAAGCAGGAGATCATAAAGCACATGGTATGTTCTTCAGGTAGGGTTCACCATCTTAAAATTTTACTAACCAATCATACTATCCCAGATTGGAAATGGGGATTGAGTGGAGAGGGCAAAATTCAAGATGCAACTGCTATTTCTCTGATTCTTTGTCTGGCATGCATTAAATTTAAAGACACCGTACGTGTGGATGTTTCTGAGGATTGGTTTGTACATGCATTTTGGTCAACTGATGTCTTACCGCTGGTTGATTCCAAGCTGAATGGCTGAACTATACTCCCTGCTGGAGTATAGGAAGGAAAGAGATGAAATTTGAGATTGCCTCACCGAAATGTATGTTCTTCCCTTGAAATTTGTAGTGAAGTATTCACTTACCTTGCAAATGCATGCCAAAATTTGTAGAACCTTTTCACATTGATAGCTTTACGCTTCTGCTTGCTTAAACTCATCTTCCTAAACCTAAGCGATATGGTGGATTGTAAATAGACCTTGTATCTTCTAGGTGGGCACATTTTATTATCTTTCATCTCAGATAATGAAGTTTCTTATTAAGAGGTACATCAATCATGTTTTATTAGACATAGTGAGATTATTTGGAGAGATTATTTGTTATATTTCAATTCGTGTTGAAAGGAACTCACTTTGGCAGGACTTTTGTCTATTTCATCTTCTCCTTCTAACAACCCTTGAAGGTAAAGTAGGCTAAGAAAATAACGCCTAATTAGCTGGCTGAGGTCCATTCAATTAGTTTCATAGTTGAGTGTAGATTTGAGTCTGTTTTCCTCCAGTTTCTATTCTTTTGACCCTGATCACAGGTGTCAGCCACTCTAATAATATTTAGCTTTATCTCTTTGAAGGAAAGAGAGAGAGCAGGAAATAGAGGGGGTGTTTGCATCTCTAGAAATATGTCTCCCAATATGTGTGTTGGGCTATAATTCTCAACTGTTAATTTGGGGAATTATACATCAAAATATCTGCACAGCAGCAGACTGAAAAGGGATTCCAGATTTGTAAGGTCTTTTAAAAAATCAACAAGACCCCCAACTTTAAATCCTTAAGATTCACTACTCATGATTTAAGTGTTTGACTAGTAGCTCACTGAGCAAATATGCACTGAGGTGAACAATGGGATAAACATAGCACAACAGATAAACACATTAAACGGCAAGTATGAGCATTTGCTCTCCTCAGGAATCTCTCTCACAGTAGTGAGAGCAAAACTACTTGCTTAAACACATCTTCCCTAAACCAAAGAGATATGAAGAACCGCTTCATCCAAATATTCAAGTTCTGGTTTTCCTCTTCCCCTGAATCCTCCCCCCACCCACCACAATGAGGTTCTCTTCATTTCGGCAACCAGCAAAAGATTTTTTGAGTTAAGCTGAAAAGCCAATGGTTTGCACATCTTCTGCAAGTCATCTAGAGATCTTGCCCAGTACATTCCAGTCTATTTTTGGCTCATCCCTGCTTGAGAAAAAGACGGCAAACTGGCTCTTCTTAGAGAGATATCTACAGCTTTCTCCCTTCTCCACACTGAATCACGCCCGGGAGCTGCAGTTACCATGGAGAGCAGCAAGAAAGATAAGGTCAGAGTACGCACTACGCAAGTGTGTAGCAAAAAGAAGAAAAAACCCCCGCCATTCCTGCCTTCTTTTATTTTCTATCATGGGATTCCTTTAGCCAATTATTAGACTATGATTCCCCAAGGAACGCTAAGACACCACACAAGGCTTCTAGAGAAGCAGGGGTTAAGGAGAGCATCTGGCTTGAAGGAAACAGGGATACTAACATAGGTGAAGGTCATCTGAAGAGGTCTGAGAAAGTGTGACATTTTTGGTTGGAAAACTTTGTCGGTTTCCCATGGAGCGATTCTGTAGATTCTCCATCTAGGAAGCTTTTTTCCAGAATATTTTCTTTGGGGCAAGCTACTAACAGAAATCTCTCCTGCACATACACTGGCAGGCAATTAATTTTCACGCTTGAGAAACTGGGACTGTTATGGAAGGCCGAACCAATAGGTTTAACAGGTTTTGATTAGCTGCAATTGGTAAGAATGCACATTACATCTTATTTACGTTTGATTTCTAATTTCTGATTCACCTCGTGCAGACCAAACAGGCACAGCCAAAAGACCAGGATGGACTGTAAAATGCCCCGGTCTGGCGTACAGATAGTCCTTGACATACAACAGTTCGTTTAGTGACGGCTCAAAGTTACAACAGCACTGAAAAAAGTGACTTCTGACTTTTTTTTCACACTTATGACCTTTGCAGGGTCCCCATAGTCACATGATCAAAATCCGGATGCTTGGCAAATGGTTCATATTTATAATGGTTGCAGTGTCCCGAGGTCATGGGATCCCCTTTTACGACCTTCTGACAAGCAAATTCAATGAGGAAGTCAGATTCGCTTAACAACCAGGTTACTAACTTAACAACTGTACTGAGTCACTTAACGATGGTGGTGAGAAAGGTCGCAAAATGGGGCAAAATTCAGTGGACAAATGTCTCACTTAGCAACAATAATTTTGGGCTCAATTGTGGTCATAAGTCGAGGACTACCTGTATACTCTCAAACAGGGAGAAAGAACTTTGGTCCTAGCACCATGGATCTATTATTTCCTGGCCCAGAAGTGTTGGGACGATAACTCTCAGAATTACCCATCCAGAATAGTCTCATTTGAAGTGACTAATATCATGACCCAACGCATATGGATATAAGTACATTGTGGAAGGCTGATTTTTTAAAAGTTATTTATTAGATTTGGCTTTCATTCAGGAGCTCAAGGTGGCACGCACAGTGTTCCCGTCTTCTTCTTTTTTCCCCCCTGCATATTTGGGAAGGATCCCAGATTTTAAGAAGGGTGATTTGGAGCACAGGAAGGAAGGAATTGTAGAAATCAGATTTTAAATGTTACCGTTAGCAGTTGATTCTTCTCAGACAGCCAAACTCAGATCAGGCAAAACAGTGGACTCCCTAAAGTGGCCTTGAATGTAATTTCTCTCTCTCTCTTTTGCAGCCTCAGTGGTGTTTTTTTTTTGCTTCTGCCTCTTAAATACAAACACAGTAATGGATAAAACTGCAGCATAGAATGCAATACAATCCTATCCATGTTTAATGGCTTAATGTTGCATGGCCTTCATGCGCCAGCCCTGTTTTAAGGTCTTGTGGATCGGAGGGATTCCTTTTCATGTGAAACTCTGCCCCCCCCCCCCCAGCATCCTACATTTAGGATCCTTCCCTCTCCCATCCTTCTGTGTTATTGATGTGGCTTCTTTCATGCTTCTGATGGTGGGATGAAATAAGGGCTACTCCCAGATGTGGAGAGGGAAGGTAGTCATAAGAGGTTTGTGCATTATTCATTGTTATCGTCCTTGATGGAAAGCATGAAAGGGAAAGAAGCAGTGGGGAAATACAGGAAAGTAACAAAATAGAAGATGAAGCTGGTGTTTGGATCCCTCTGCCATAAATTTCCTTAAATGAGGTTCACAATTGTAACATCTCCAGCTTTATCAGAATGTTCCTAAAGCATTCTGGGGGGAGGGAGGCAGTTGGGGGGGCAGTTGGGGGGGGGGAGGAACACCAAATTAGGTACAGATAGTCCTCAAAACAGTTCACTTAGTGACTATTTGAAGTTACAGTGGCACTGAAAACAGTGACTTATGACCCTTTTCACACTTATTACAGCAACCCCATGCTCATGTGATTTATATTTAGGTGCTTGATAACTGACTCACATTTATGACATTTTGCAGTGTCCTGGGGTCATATGATTTCCTTTTGTGATCTTCTGACGAACAAAGTCAATGGGGAAGCCAGATTCCTTTGACAACCGTGTTACTAATTTAACAACTGCAGTGATTCACTTACTAACTGTAGCAAGACAAGTCATCAAATGGGGCAAAACTCACTTAGCAAACATCTCACTTAGCAACATAAATTGTGGGCTCAATTACGGGTGGAGATGCCAGCGTAGAAGAAGAAGATTGGACCATGTGATGGATTGTGGGTGTGGGGACAAGATCATGAACTTTTAAC